CCATGAGAAGCTTGGATTGCAGCTTGCTGCTATTTGAAGGAAAACCTGTGGCGATACTGATACGGAGTATGGAGTAGTGGGGAGCTTATGCTCATGACAACGATACCAGCAAGGGCACTACAAGCGTTACAAAGCACTCAAGAGCATTGAAAGGGCAACAACAGCAAGGATACTCCTGGAAGTGAGAGAAGTCTGAAACTCTACGAAAGCTTGCTTTGTGGTTTGAGTATAGTATATTGGGGTCTACATTGGGTCCCCCTTTTAAGGGAAAGTACCATGTGTGTTGGTTTTTCATTCAGTTATCCTACAACCAAAAGCATTTTTGTAGTTTTGATTCCAGCTGCTTGATGAGGTTCATGCGGCTGCCCGTATTAAGGGAAGCGCCCAAGAAGCGACCATGTTGTTCCAGTATCTACCATCACCTTTTGAATTCTATATCGCACCTGTGCGGAAAACCCAGTATTGACTATGTACCATTAGGTACCCAGAATATGGTAACTTTACATTGCACGTTGAGGATGTGTGTTGCTGGTTCGCGTGAGGCTTTGACTGAACCTTCATGACGAAGGGTGTGATTGTCACAAACGGTTGAGGGTTTAGAGTTTAGGGATGTGCGTCACAGATGGGGACGTGGAAGTTTCCTGAAATTGCAGGGCACCTTCACTGGAGTCCCTGTAATCAGGATTATAGTGTTGGGGTCCCCGGATTAGGGGAAAGTACCATGCGTGTAGGTTTTTCACTGAGTATCCTACGACGGTCGTAGCTGCTTTATCATTACAACAAGGGCACAATCATATAGGTTTCTCCAATTTTTGGGGCAACACTAATACAGGCCAACCCTCTGCATAGCTATACAGAAGACGGCTTGCTAGGAAATACACAAGCAGAGGCTACATTTTTTACACAGCAAAGCTAATACCAGCGCTAGTAGCAGCTCCAAACCTTACTAAGCTTTGAACCCTAAACCATGTAGTCCCTCTTAAGTAAACTGATAGAATATGGCGTATATGGGGATCTCATTATAGGATTAATCCTTGGAGGAAGTACTTGGGCTCTGGGAAGTTTGGCGCTCCTCGACAGGTGTTTGGCGCGCCCAGGCTGCATTCAAAAAGATTCGAAGCAGTAGATGCCAATCCCTAAGCCTATCCCTAAACTCTAAACCGTAGTCTGTAGTCCCTATACCTGTGATTAAAGCCCTAGAACCCTTAAACCAGTACCCTAAACCCTCAGCACCGGGTAGCTCTTCAGGCGGTAGTGTCGGGTAGTTCCCATTGACTCTCTGTACCCCGCAATGTTTCGAGGGTCTTGTGTCGTGGTAAGGGGTTGGGGGTGTTGGGTTAAGGGCTAGTGAGGGAGTATCTATATAACCCTATATACTATAGTAGCTTACATTTTATTTTCCATTATCCCAATATACCCCATATTATACACCTATATTGCCTGCACATTGCGGATTGTGGATACTGCCCAGCGATTGGCTTCCAGCTGCAGGGCGCGCAAGGTTCACTTTGAGTTGGGCGACTAGCGCTAGCGTCTTGAGCCTTGTTGGTGCGTTGGTTAGGTGGTATGATGCGTGCGGAGTCAGACGCGTCATTTCATAAGCACGTGTATATGTATGGTATGTCCCTTTAGCTAACAATCCGCTGATGACATATCTTTGAGTCTGTTCGGATTGTGTCAAAACAGGCTGTGGTGTGGGTCATCAAGGATCTTGTGAGTTTCGAGGGCACACCCTCATTTCTACGCACAGCTGGTGGGAAACACACACAACCTGCACTCCAGACTGGTAGCCTTTGTCTTGCGAACCTGAATGTGAAAAAGAAGATATTCAGGAGCAGATAGCGGGTATAATGGGTTTACACAGAGCATCCATGACTCTCCCAGGGTTTTGGATAGACCCCAAGCTTGAGTAAGCTCCAAAGAGGAGACGGTGAATCGTGTTCTTGGTCAACTTACTGCCGACGAGCGACGAGCGCGTGTGATGGTGGTGGATAGTGACCTTGAGGGCTCTTGCGGGCTGAAAAAGGCCGGTGGAGGGTCATTATACCATTATCATACTATTATCCCTAATACTATTTACTACCTTTCTTATTATTATTACTACCATTATCATACTATTATCCCTAATACTATTTACTACCTTTCTTATTATTATTACTACCATTATTAGTTTGATTGAAGCATTGGTTTCTTGGGGTTTCAGGGACTTCTGGGGAGTTTATTGCTTTGGGTCTTCTGAAATCACGTTGTGCGTTTGGAGATCAGTTTACGCACCTCTTCTTAGTTGAGTTTTGCTTGTTTTACTTGTTGTACACCTGTTTTTGGGTTTTGGGGTTACCTGTAACCCCAGCTTTCCATTACCTACAGTTTTATGACCTAGACCTACTAATTACCAGGTGGATACTACTACACTGTGGGTGATGGGGGCTTCAGGTAGGCTTGATCATAGCAGCTAGTCATGAAGTTGGTTGTGAGGGTGGCACTCGTAGTTTTCATTGCTCCGGTTACCCCTCCAAAAACTGGCACCTCCCAATAACACCCTAGTTCCCCCAATGAAGTAATGGGGTCATTTTTGGGGCTCCATTTTTTGGATCCGGGAGTCTGGGTAAAGGATGCAGATGATGACTTCATGGCTTGACTTTGAAAGGGTGTTGGGGTTGCTCTCCCCGGAACTCACATGAGCTGCAGTCTAAACTTCTTAAAGGGGGATGATCTAGGGGAGTATACAGGGGAGAAAAATAGGGGTTATTGAAGGGGATACTAGGAGTTTAGACTATAGCTCACATGAAACCCGACAAAGCCATAAATTGAAGGAGAGATTAAAAAGAACAGTCGTAGAGGTAGGGACCTTTATGTCTTGCATGTTAACTTTGATGAGGATGCAGTTCTGGCCAGCTTTTCCAGATTTGGTAGTTTCACAAAATAAGGGGACCCCAATATACACCCAATATATTATAATCCTTTTTATAGGGACCCCCAAACGGGACCCCGAATTTTCGGAAACCCCCATGTAAAGGACGGCATGAAGCAATCTTAGGTTTGGCCCTCAACTCCCCGATAAAAAACAGCACAATCGCACAGCACCTTCGCATGTCTGTACTATACTTAGTCTGCGTCTGATTGAACATGAAGCCCGAAACCGAAGAGAACTATCCATCTGCCACATGACTCCCTCCCACTCACTGTGAATTAGCCACTGGTCCTTCTGAACCAAAGATTCGCCTGTACTACAAGGTTCCTGAAAATATGTTTTAACTTCTGTTACCTAGAATCCTAATATTTAGCTTAAATTACAATTTCTACTGGGGTTCCAAATCCCTTAGAGTGTAACCGCCGCCACCTCCCCACTCCGCTCCCCTTTGAATTTCACCGCAAAATGTCCGCCACCAGGACGCAAGCCGACAAGACTGCTAAATTATGAGCAAAATCTTAGCCCATGCTGATACCGAAACCCTTAAAGCTCATAACCCCAAACCCTAAACCCTAAAAAACACGTAACATAGATCACCCCAATATTCTACAGTAGTTTCCATTTTCTTTTCCACTATCCCTGGATGACCCGATAGAGCCCTATAAACCACGTGGCTTTATTGCCGCAGGTTCGGGAGAGCTTTCCGGACGTTTATGTGAAAGGTGGCATCATGGAGCGTGGGAACTTCCTGGCTTGTGCCTGTTAGAGGTGTTGGGTTTTATGGTTTTGGGTTTAGAGTTCAGGGTTGTAGGGTGTTAGGGCTTAGGGTTTCAGGGTTTTAGGGTTTTGGATTTGCGGGTTTGGGGCTTAACACTTAGGGTTTGGGGTTTAGGGTTTAAGGCTCAGGGTTTCGGATTTGAGGGTTTGGGGTTAAGTGTTTGTAATTCAGGGGGTGAGGGTATGTGCCTGGAGCATTTGAGATGTTCCGCTTCAGACTGGCTGCTTGCACACTAGTTGGGGGTTTCCCAAAATTAGGGGACCATTTTGGGGGTCCCTAGATTAAGCATTTTAGCATGCCGGGGTCTAGATTGGGGTACCCTCATCTTTGGGGAAACTACCAGTTATCATGATGGTAGTAATACTCTCATTGGAACTTGGACTCGCAATAGGAACACTAATAGCAATGAAGGTCTGCATACGATGCTAGTACCCTGTACGATCTGCAGCTTTCTGAAAGGCTCGCCTAATTGCCAATAACCAATGCCAGTCCAACAGACTTCATATTGAATTACCAATCTTGTCGCCGTGAAGCCTTAATCACACTGTAGTAAAATATGCCCCAAAACGCTACTCTAATTGTTTAGGCCCCTTCCTTGCCTCCCTTTCTCTGGCATTGCAAAAGCCGTTGTCTGGCGCAGGCCGCATGTCAGGAATTCGCTTACTTTAAGAGTAACACGTTGGTTGCTGCAGTTTAGCTTATCATCTCGGTGAATGCTTTCATGTTTACTGCTTTTCATGGCTCTTCTCGTTCTTATCATTAATACCGTTCTTGTCTCAGCAACTTTGGCTTTATTAGTATTGCAATTGTCACTGCGGTTCGTCTTGTGATTATTATTGCTTTCGAACCCGAAGTCCTAAACTCGCCAGGTTTTGAGGCTAATGCCCTACAGTCTACATCTTCGACCATCCGCCCCAACTCATTTTCTATTGTGGATGAATTTTACCGCAGGAATGACTGTACATTGCAGGGCCCAAGCGGCAGGAGCCTGTGGCGGGATTTATAGTAGGGCCTCTTGAAGCGCAGAGCGGGTAATCTGGGGATTCCTCAGGCACATGGGATTATGTAAGGGTTCTATTTGGAAATGGGAGTAGGGGGGCAAAACTCTCTCCATCCACCCAGCACCCTAAGACCCTGCAGCCCCAAGCCCTGACATCCTGAACGCCCAAACCCTGGAACCCTATTTTAGGGTTTAGGCTTTAGGGTT